ACCTAATAATTTCACATGACTTAAAAAGCATAATTCTTTCTTCCTAAGAAATAATCATTTGAGCTTGGTAAATACCTTTTAAAACTGTATTAAAACGCATATACAAGTACACAATTTTTACTCCATCTAGGACAGTTTTTAAAGCTTTTTCATTTCTTACGTCAATGCACACATTTTCTATGATCTATAGCTGTGCAGCATTTCACTATTTTAAAACAACTATACCCATTCCACAGTAAGTATATTATTTGCATTTTTTCACCTTTCACTAATTCAGAACAATGCAATAAACACCTTAAATCTTCTCATACACAAGCAAATACTCTAGGACCATGTCTTAGAAACTGCTTAGAGGAGATTAAAAGTTTATAAATATTTTAAAATTGTATATAGAGCTGATGAGCTCTTATCAAAGATTTTTATAGTGAAAGTCAAATGTCACCTAAGCTGAGCAACTAATTCAGAAATAAAACAGACTGGAACTTCCCTGGTGATCCAGGGGCTGAGACGCCACACTCCTAGTGTAGGGGCCCAGGTGTGATCCCTGGTTGGGGAGCTAGATCCCGCATGCTGCAACTAAAAGCTCCTGTTTGTTTGCCATGACTAAAGATGCTGCATGCTGCAAACCAAGGCCCAGCGTAGTGAAATAAACTTTAAAAAAAAAAAAAGAAAAGAAATAAAACAGACTAATAATAATGTTGCTTTCTATAAAAGCATAATTTTCTTTTAAATGAATGCATCCACTTATTAATAAATCCATTAAAAACTCAAGTTTTAGAAGTTTTTCTGAAAGAATAGATGAAACGCATCTAACATGCAAAAGTTTCATGTTGGTATGACTATAATAACCTATTCTAAAACCGCTATCTCTAATAACAACCTGGATAAAGCTCCTAAACACCCCTGACTGATCCACTCAACAAAATAACTCTCCCAGGGTCATGTGATGATGCTCCCATGACTTCTGGCAAATAGCACCAATCTTACTATACTTTCAGAGACTCTGGAGATAAACGTTAGGCCCACCTCACAGATTTACTGTCAACAGTGAAGAGATTCTACCAAAACACTTGGTAAGATACACAAATATAAGTCACTAATACAAATAATGGATTAGTGACGGTTCACAATTTGTGAAAACAAAACCTGTGTCCGTCTTCTAGTAGTGATGACTACACTGTACTCCCTCCAGAAACCAACTTCAACACAATACAGGAGCTGCTGCTTCCACGCCTGGGAACTGAACCATCCACATGGCCGGCCACGTGGCAGGCTTGGAGCCTCACACCAACAGCAGCTCCTCAGGAGGCAGCAACAGGTCAGCGAGATCAAGAGTCAGCTCACTGACCCCATCTGGCCAAAGCGCTTCTGAGGTGTTCTGATTTATCAAGACTGCAATTTGAAAAGAAACATCACAACTAGCTTTTGCTATATACGTGTGCTCATCCTGAAGAGCCTATCTCCGAAAGATACAAGTGACCTCTGGAGAGGCACTGGATAGGAGTCATGTTGAAAGGGCAGACTTTTCACCCGGAATCTCCAACAGCTGTCTTACCTATCAAGAAGATTGAAAAAGTTATTCCATCAAGTTCTTGTAGCAAACCTATATTCTGGAAAAGGACTTTATTTTTTCCTTCTAAGTTTATTCTGCATAACTAAGGAAATAAATTATTTTAGCCTGGTATTTCAAAGCCAGGCCACATTTAATGTATTAAAGTAACCCATGCACATCCAAACACTACTGATATGTATGAAAAATTCAAGGCAGAATAAATTTTATGGCTTGTGAATTTTACCTTTAAGTCATTATTTTAAAATATAATGGCATATTTTTAAAAATCATAACAAATAAATAATAGAAATAATAAACAAAAAGTTATGGCAAAAATCTTCCTAACACCCAGAGCTCCACAAAGCGCCACTCACAGTATGAAAGGGCAATAACTAATGTTAAGTAGTTCTCATTAATAAACAGTCCCATTATATCCTCTTTTTTTTCCCCCCATTATATCCTCTTTTCACTTTAAAAAAAAGTTGCAATGAGCACCTTTTCTGTGGACTCAGTAACACATACCATTAAGATACAGTCCCAGCAGCAGGATCCGGGAACAAGTGTATGCATGCATTTAACATGCTGACAGCTACTGGCTGACTGCCCTCCAACAAGCACAGCTACTCCAAGTCACCCCCAACTCGTCAGAACAGGAAGACCTCCTCTGGAGGTTCAGCACTAGCTAGCAAACATTTCAACATGAACCATCTATAAGGTAAAATATGATTTATTCTAAAACAGAGAATATACCTATTATTTAATATATATATTGTATTTTGGCTGCAGCTTGTGGGATCTTAGTTTCCAGACCTAGGATTGAACTGGAACCCCTGGCAGTGAGAGGAGGAAGTCCTAACCACTGGACCATCAGGGAATTTCCTCAAATATGATTTTTAAGGAGCTGGAGGGAGGGGCGGTCACCTTTTAAACTGGAAAAGGTACTCCTCTAAATGGTAAATTTCCACAGTACAAAAACGTCTCTTGACCTACTCTAGCCCTCCAACTAAGACAAAAGTGTTCAAAGTCTTGTGGTTTCTTCTAAAACTCCTCTGTAAATCTAAGCACGTCAACAACAGTAAACACCCTTTGCTTTTTAAAAATCACACTATGGAAGCCATCATATCGCACCAGTTTTCCCACTTTACCTAGGACATAATTTCACTACCTCAACCCTCTTTCCACAGTTGCACATCATCCCACTGTAGAGAGCAATGACCTGACCAAGCCCTCACCGATGGAGTCTGCAGGCTGCAATGCTGCAGGAGTATTCTGAAGCAAATTTACCTTTGCTCATAAGCAAGCGTATCATCAGATATACTCTCAGAGCTAGCACTGCTACCACGTGCTTTCCCTTCCTCGGGGGCTCAGTCATCCAAGAGGTGTATCAGAGTTACTTAACTCTCCAACTCCTCAGCCTGAGTGAGGGTGAATACCTGTCACAGGATTAGATGCCCACTAAAAATGTCCTTTATCCTCTGACCGTTTTCTATTCAGCTCTTGCTACAGTCCTTTTCAGCCATGATGAGCTTTATCATCAAAGGTACCTGCCCTTCATATGCTGCAGACATTGTGTCTCAGCTTAGTTCTTATTTTACATATGGGAATTCTTGATATGCTAGTATTTTAAGTTTCTATACAGAAAAAATGTATCCATCTTTACCTTACAGCTTCTTAGGCTTTATAACATATCAAGATGGCAAAACAAAATTCTCTTTTGGGGGATCCAACCCAGTTTTTTGCCAACTGGGTAATCCACAGTTTCTAATACTGTTCATTAAAAAAACTCATCTTCTCCACAGTGGCTGAACACATGCCCCGCATAAAAATACTAAATTACCGTATGTTTCAGTCTTTCTGTATTCTCAATTTCTTCTATTACCCTGTTCTTAAATACTGAATTCACCAGGTCATTTAAAAACCACAGGGACATTCTAATTCAGCAGAAATCCTAAGATTTGTGATACAAAAAGCTACATAACTAAAAGTGAAGATTTAACCCACAACATCTCTGTTCCTGTGTTTCTGAAACCTGGTATCCCAAGAAGATTCAGCACTGATGCACTTGAAAAAGAAATGGCAATTTTAACCACTTTTTAAGATTACTGATTTAAGTAGAATTTACTCCAGCTACAATACGTCCTCTAAAATGTCCACTGGGAGAAAAAACACACCTTTCCTTGATTTTCTTTTCCCGACTTCCTCCCACCAAGCTCAGTGCCTCCCCAGTCTTCAGTCAGGAACCTGAATGGCATCAAACCCCTCACTGACTTCTGCTTACTCTAGGAATGGAGGACTCAGAAAAAGAAAAAAACTAAAACGGAGTGGCTCTATCAGGAATCCCTATGGTACAGTGGTTAGGACTTCACGCCTCCACTGCAGGAGTCCTGGTTCAATCCCTGGAAGGTGATCTAAGATCCCACAAGCTGCACAGCATAGCCTAAAATAAATTAACAAAATAAAGTGACCAAATCATGCATTCCAAATGCAGACAGGAATGAAAACTGGTCTTAAAGAGTGAAGAAAATCTTAAGATAGTACAATGGTTTGTGACCTGTAAAGGATCACAGTACATAAACTGATATGCTGGTTATCTGTGTTATCAGAATTTCATGGAGGGGACAACCAACAACAACAAAAAAATTCATGGAAGGGAGATGGATGAATTAGGGGAAAGGGTCTAAAAAAGGCTCCTTTGGGAGGGAAAAATGACAAAAGTTATGAAATACTTGTTTGTAACGACTAAATTGCAAAAGATTTCATGGCCTGATAATACCAAGTGTTGGTAAGGGTATGTTCACTGTTATTAAATGGGTAAACTGATACACTTTATCAAAAATTAGGGAGGAAAAAGAAAAAGAACTATCTTGCAAGAATAAGCATGTGCAGCTCCTATGAGCAAGCAATTCTTCTCTTAAAAATATACCCTAGGTTAACTGTTGCACATGTGCACCAAGATATTCAAGAACATTTATAAGGCTATTCATGATAAAAAAGACAAAAACAAAAAACCCACTAGAATCAACCCAAATGTCTATGAACACAGAATGGTAGTTCAGGGAACAGTCAAGCAGCAATGGAAACAAACCATACCCAGAAAGTATGCAAAGGCACACAGCACTGAAGGAAAAGTAAAGTCACTAAGATCACCTACACTGCATCCATTTCTGTAAGTGCAAAAGCAAGAACAAACATAATGTCCAAGAAATCATAAAATATATAATAAGAAACACTTTAAAGAAAACAATACAGTACAGAATGTAGAAGAGTTGGGATGGTAGACACACAGACTCAGAACAGTCCTGGCCACATCCTAGCTCCCAGCCAGAGAGTGGTGGAATAACATCTGTTTTATAATTTTCTGTCATAACTTACACACATTACATTATTCTTGTTAGTGCAGTATTTGGCTCTTCACAGTAGGGAACAATTAACAGCAAATAAAACTTACATCCAACTCAAAAAAGAGGTCCCTTTCTTTACTTGCAATCTCATAATCTGCTCGGAGGGCCAAGTCGTGGATTTTGGTACATTCTCCTAAGTCCATGCGCTGTGAAAGAGAAACAAAAATTTACACACAAACATCTAACCATTTGTAGGAAGCACATGACCTGGTGGTAACTGTCATCAAAATCAACAATGCTTTTTTGAATGCTGCCTATCATAAGAAAATTAAGAAACAACGTGGCCAAGAAGTCTTATTTTCCTTTTTCCACCATGATTACATGACACTCAGAAAATATGCATTTCAGTGTACCTATGGAACCAGAGATTACTAGACTATTTTCCACTACTTAGCATTCACCATTATTATTATTTCATGAGTGACATAAGAAATGTCCATTTAGTAAAGAGCAGCACGGGGGAAGGGGTGGTAAGAAGGCCAGGAAACAAGAGCATCACTGACAGCAACAAGTTTCCATGCATTCCTTCTTATAATCCTGACCACTAAAGCCTAAATCACAGAGACAGAAAGAGGAAAGAACAGATAGAAATCACGTTTTGGGGAGCTACCACATAACCTAACCTACCTAAAAGTAGCTCTTTGCATATCAAAGGAAATAAAGCACAACTAGCTGCCTCAGAGCCAATGAATCCATTCTCCTAACCTGGTAAAGGACTCTGGACACACACCTGGGGACACAGATTGGACCACTCACTTGCCCCACTTGAAAGACAAAAGGCTCTTTCACCAAAACAAATTATTTGTGTTACCAGTAAGACCAGCCTAATGTGCTACTGCACATCGTGAGCACAGACAGAATAATTAAGACAGCAGCGTGCATTTTTCTTACCTAAGTCCTAAGTAAAGGACCCTGTACAGGGACCCCTCCACCCGTCTGTGGTCATCTCAACAGCAACAGGGACATTTGGATGCTGAGGGTCAGGTTAACAAGTCAGAAAGTGCCAACTGACAAACCCCAACAGCCCAGTGAGGAGATGCCTCAGGAGCCCCAGCTGCTGGACACAAGCACAACTATCTAACAAGGGAACAAAGAGCAGCAGAGTCCAGAAATCCTTCAGCTCAAACTACAAGTGTGTTCAAAATGAGGTTAACAGGGACTTCCCTGCTGGTCCAGTGGTTAACACTTTGCCTTCCAATGCAGAGGGTGCGGGTTCGATCCCTGATGGGGGAGCAGGGATCCAATATGCCCCATGGCCAAGAAACCAGGACATAAACAATATAAGCAATATTGTAACAAATTCAATAAAGACTTAGGTTTATTAAAAAAAAAAAAAAAACAAAATGAGGTTAACAAAAGACTCCATGGATTACAAAATCCTTAACATTCTAGGACAGTTTCCAGCTCTTCGGCCCTAATCTCAGAAGGTGCAGCCATCCTTATGACAAAATGTCCTACAGCATCACCAGTGGCAGAGCCAAGAGTGGACTGCCAAGGGTGGAGCTCATACTCATTTTGACCAAATGGTAAACGCAAAAGTTCTGTTTTCCTTCATTACGCTTACTATGAGGTCACATGCAGCTTCTGTATGTTGGTTACATGGGGAATCAGAGGTAAGGAAACACAAGTTCTAAAAGCCAAAGTTGCAACTAGAATTGCTATCATTGTAAAGCTGGCAAATTCTGCTTCATTCACTCTTTTAAATACCCAACATAATCCTTAAAAAATACACAGGTTCTGAACTAAGCTCATGGACCACAACTACTGAGCTGTTGTTCTACAGCCCAAGAGCTGCAACTACTGAAGCCCATGCTCCACAAGAGAAACCACTGCAATGAAAAGACACTGAATGAGAAGACCGCTTGCTACAACTAGAGAGAATTCCATGAAGCAACGAAGAACCAGCACAGCCAAAAATAATAAATGAATAAATGTATTTTTAAAAACATATTTTATGTATATATACAGCTTCTGGATTTCCCTAGTGGTCCAGAAGTTAACATTCCATACTTTCAAAGCAAGGGGTACAGATTTGAGCTCTATTTGAAGAACTATGATCCCACATGCTGCATAGCCAAAAAAACCACACGAAGGTAGCTAAGTGCTACAGCTGAAATGAGAGGCAGCTCTTAGAAATTCTTTTTTTTTTAGTTCTACCACTTTATTGCTACCAACCCATCTCCCTCCACCCTCGTGCTCACATGCTCAGTCATGTAATCCTATGGACTTCAGCCCACCAGACTCCTCTGTCCATGGGCTTTTCTAGGCAAGAATACTGGAGTGGGTTGCCATTTGCTTCTCCATAGAAATTCTTTAAATGCTAACGAACATTCTGTTGCTCAAAGAAAAACTACTTCCAGATGAAGCAACAAAACCACTAAGTACTAAAAATCTTAAGTGCAAATCAACTTCCATTCCAAGAAAGTTTCAATATTAGGGAACCACACACGAAGCAAAACTGACCAACACCTTCCTTCAGATGGGAGCGCTCAAGCGGCCACTGCCGAAACAGGTGAAAGACATGCCTGGGACTCCAAGTGCCTCTGAAGATCGCTCTGCAACTCTGCCAAGGAGGTAGAAGTACTAGCCAACTCCTCTGGCAGCCAAACACCCAAAAGAGCTGAAATACCTCACTAGTTTACTTCTTCCAAAATACTGCAAGGGGCTGTCAAATGCAGCATGCCAGACCTTCTATCTTCTTTTTTAATCGCACAAACATCTGTGTTCTCTACCCTCTCGAGGTCTCACACAGCAGACAGGGAAGAACAATAAAGGCTCTTCAGAGAACTTTCAGAAAACCAAAGTTCTTCCACAGAGACAAGTTACACTGCCTTCCCTCCAGCTATCCCTCTCATCTTACTATCAATACACCATTTTCCCATTCCATTCCTCTGCTACCTCACCCCTATTGAGAGCGCGCCTGGAGCAGCCCTTAGCATGCTGAGGGTTCTAACCACTGTCCTGTGGCTTATACTCAGTCCATCTCCATGGAGCACAGCAGATTCTATCCCTGCCACCCAGGAGCCCACAGCCATGAGGCTCCATCTTTACACTCGCCACCCAAATTCCCAACCCTCATCTCAACTGACCTCAGCACCCCCAACACATTCACTGCACCTTTGCATGAAAACAGGTCTCCTGGGCTCTCTTCTCGATTTGAGTTGCCTGTCCAACGGGGACAGCAGTGACACTGCTCAGTCCCTGGCCTCTCATCAAAGCCCCACAGTCTCTGCCTCCTCCCCCTGACCCACACCAACCCAGATGCACTCCTGCTTCCCTTGGCTCCATCAGCCACCTGGAGTGCTATTCCCTCAAAGGTGCACGTGTGTGTTTTCTCAGCATTGAGGTCTCTGCTCCCTATCCTGAGAGGACTTTCCATATTGCCCTATCCAAAACAGTCCAGAACCTACTTCGCTATTTACTGTCTGTCCGGTTTCTCCATTAGATAAGAGTAAACATTTTTGGTACCACATCCCCAGTGCCTGGCAGAGTACTTGTACAGTAAATACTTGGCAAATTAACCTATACCTAATACAGTAAACATTTGTAGGAAATTCCCTCCCTCATCAGCATTCCAGAAAAATACAGCTGAAATGTTTCACTCTGGTGCATGGCCCTCTACTTCCTCTGACTTCTTCCACTAAGACCTACCAACAACTGCAGGTTAGGACACCGCCTACTCCAGGTTAGGAGCACACTCCTGGCTGTCTGCTATGACCAGTGGAAGGCAGCAGTCTACAGTGACGGCACCCCCATGATCCAGAACACTCAGCAGTCATAGCCAGTCAACTGCAAGCAAGACCCCAGCTAACAGAGGCGTGAGGCTTTGTAGCCATTTCCTATTTGCTGTCAGAAGGGCAAGCATGAGAAGATGTAATACACCAGCTCAGTGTTTCAGAAACTCCTCCCCAAAACGGGAATGACAAAAGCACCAATTAATCATAAAAAAAGTGTTCCCCAGCACATGCATATTGAACCGTTAAAACGAGGAGACAATTTTTACATTACATGAGGGGGTTGTGACATCTTAAAATGGTGATGGTGTTTATGAACTCATTTTCTGTAAGTGGCTGAATCATGGTAGATAATCTGACATTCTTTAGTATTCTTAAATACTATCTAACTTTGAATAAATGTTCATTCTGCAAAACTAGCATTTATCTGTTTGGTTCATATGAAATGAACTTAAAATTGTAGAGTTCTATACTTATCAGATCATGTACTGACTTCTTGAAAGGGTGGTGTAACACAAAACTGCAGATTAACATTAGTCCAGATTTTTCAAAAACTTACAAATCTGGGAAAACCATACCCTGTTACCAGATCAAAAAACTAGTATGTGTTTAACCTGAAAACAAACCAACCCATAATCTTACAGAGTTACAGGCTAACGTGAAGCACTCTTTTTGCTAAAGCCAAAGGACATTAGTAATACTTAACTTGTGAATACCTCAGTATAAACAACTCTCTCAAAACCTGAAAACCTCACAAACAGAACTTTATAGAAGTGAAATAACATTGTATAAAATTTCACCAAACTAATAGAAGCTATCACTTGAAGGACAGTAGATAATTTCCGCTTAGTGAAAAAAAAAAATAATTCAACCTGAAAATCCCCACTGCCTGCAGAGCACCCATGTCTGAGTATCCTAGGACATCCCCCCAGATGCACCTACCGTCCCAGCCAGAATGTCGTGGGGGCAGCAGTCCAGAAGGTGACTCTTGCAGACACGGTCATCTGTAAACTTGACCCTCTGTCTGGTTTCGTCTCCTGAAATTCATGTGTGGTTTTAAATAAGACAATATTATCACATTAAGCACAAAAGCATATCTGGTACAATTCACCTGGATGATTTGCAGACTACCAAATACTATGAAAAGCTGACCTAGATGGTTTTTTTTTAACAACTGGAACAAAATACAGATGATTTTTGATGCTACATGTCACGAAGAATGACGCTTAATGAGATCTGACTCCGTCATTGTGCCAAAGAGATCAAGGAGTCAGAAGTAAAATGTTGAGCACCAAAAGGCCATTAGCCCCACACATATATGTGGGCCATGAGATACCAAAACCCATGCTAATCAGAGGGCCATGAATCACCACGTGTGACTTAAAAGCTGGTAGTTTCCAACAAAAGCTACTTACTAGTCTAATCATTTTGCTATACACAAATGTATAGGCAATATTTTGCCCCAAATTTTATGAAGAAAGCTTTTCCTATTACTGACTGATAAACAACCTAGACTTAGTCTACCTATCCCCCTTTAACCCCCACCCTTAAAAAAAAAAAAAAGAGTTGGCACCTGGGAGTCACTTTTAACAAGACAATACCAAGGAGAAAAAAGCAAAAAAGGAACTAGGTTAGTCAATACACACTGTGAGTTCCAAAACATACTGTACCCATCTGCATTCTTCAAGACCTCAGCTGCAGAATTTTATGCCCGCTGTTGAAAAGTTTTAAAGGAAAAGTTTTCTTGCCCAACCTGCAGTAAGGAAGTCAGGGGAATGATACATAAAAGTAAAGGCAAAGTGGAATGTGACAGATTTTAAAGCTAATCTGTGTATATGACACAGAGCTGTGTAAAACTAAAGGAGGAATATATTTCAGGATTTGCAAGCATCCAGGATTAATGTAGTGTCTTTTATTGAAAATGTTTTCTTTCTAAACTACACTTTTAAAGTTACTTGTGAAAAAAAGCAAACACTTTTTTGTTATAACAGCTTAAAAATTGGTTGTGACTCACGGCTCGATGAACATGAGGCTTTTCTGCAACTCCCTTGCAGATTGATGTAGGCAGGCAAAGATACACTGAACCTTTATAAATAAAATAGAGGGGCCACAATTGTTCAGTTTGTATGAAATAAAAATATGGGAAGCAATTCAAAAGCAACTCAATATACAAAGAAAGCTAAAAAGCACTTATTCACCTATGAAATAAAGTGCAATGAATCTGCACAGCCCTGCGAATGTGCCAGTGTGAACTTACAACTTCATTACTTCGGTAGAAAAGAAAACACAAACCACAGCAGGTACATAGTTTGCAAAGATGCAACCGCTTTCTCCTGAGACAACCATCATGATATTGCGTTCCTCCCTACAGTACAACCTACCTAACGACTGCCAAGCGCAGGCTAAACAGAAGCTCTCCAGTGTGGCTGGGGAAAGGGGGGGCTGGAAAAGCACGCGGCAGGAACCCACGTTAGAAAAGCTCAATTTACGGCTCCCCTTACAATGGTACAGAACAACAACGGCAGGGTTTCCAGGCCCATCCGGCTCCCTCGGGTGGAGGAGCTCCGCCAGCCCGCTGCCAGCGACCTGTGCCCAAGCTGGCTGCAGCCCTTCGCCGACTCCCGGTTCGAGGAGAGGCGAGGGCCGCGGGAGGGCGGAGAAATCGCAGCAAGGTCAACGGGGAGGGGGCTGGCGCCCCACCGACAGCACGGGCTCCGAGGGAGGAGCCCGCCGGGGACCCACGCCGGCAGGGAAGGCTCAGACAAAGGCCCGGCGCCCGCGGTGGCGCGCGGGGGAGGGGAGGGCGCCCGCGCAGGCGCAGACGGTCGCGGCCCCGCCTCAGGCCGCCCGGCGGCCTCGCTTCGCTCCCGCCCCAGCCCTCGCCTGGCCGGCCGCCCCGACTCACCGTCCCGGGCCGTGCCCATGAGCTGGTCCAGGAGGGCCCGCATCTGCGCCTGGGCGGACATGGTGGCCGGCGGGAGCGGCAGGGGTGGCCGCGACGGCTTCTCTCAAGTGGCGGCAGCGGCCGCGGCGACGGCGGCGGCGACGGCGACGACGAAAGCTGGTCCTGTCGGTCTCAGCCCGCTCGGCTGCTTCTCGACGCGAGGAACGCCGGGAGGAAGTGCGTCGGCGCCGGCGCGTGGCCTGCTGGGAAATGTGGTCTGAAGGCGGGCCTGACGTTCCGTTGCGCAAGTTACGCAAGCAAGCTGCTCAGGGGGCGGGGCTAATTCCCTCCCTGATTTTACTCCGGAGCCTAAAACCTCCAAGCTCCACCTAGGCGAAACTGCAATAAAGGGAAATAAATTAGACAGTCCCAAACAGGAAAATAAATTCCGTGTTTTCTTGCTAGTCGTGAACCTGTGAATATCATTTAGCTACTTTAAGACTATTTTTTTACACCTGTGAAAATCGTGCCTGACCAAATGACTTTTGTGAAAGTTAAATGGAGCGTGGAATTGGGTTCTGTGACTACTACTTGCTGTAGTCCCTGAGTTCACCGTGGTCTGGCCACTTCCAAGACCGACAGTGAACCTCTGACACATGCGTACAGCAGACAGTAGGGAACCGTAACTCCTACCACTGGAACTGTCCGTGTCTCCAGACAGACGTGTACTGGAACTCTTGTCGACACTTGTCCTAACTGCAGTGTCCCCACACCCGAAGGCCTGCAGGAGGCCTGACTGACTGACACGGGATCCTGAACAGCGTTGCCTTATATCAAGAAATCCATTTTACGGTAAAGAAGGTCAAGTATTTTTTTCTGTATAGCAAGTCACTTCATAACAGTGTAAAGCAAAGGTGATTTATTATTTCTCATTTTTCTACGGTGCTTAGGCAGGGATAAGCCGGCCCTGGGCTCCTTGCTCTGGGTGGTTTGGCTGGGTTCACAAAATTGCTTGTATGAAGCTGAGCACAAATCCAAGAAGGCTGCACTGACATGCCCAGCCCCACTGTGGTGCTCCAAGCTGCTTCTATCTGTGAGATCATAACATTCTGAAGTCTAGCCCACATTGCTACGGCAGCTGGTTGCCCCCAGGGAAGGAGTGGAAGCTAGCTATCAGTCCTCTTAAGGTTTAGACCCCCAGAACTCTCTTTCTACCATTATCTGTTGGTCAAAGCAAATCAAAAGGCCAATGCAGATTCAAGAAGAGGGAAAAACAGATGCTTTTTTTTTTTTTAAGCTGCACTGGGTCTTGGCTGCTGTATGCCGGCTTTCTCTAGTTTCAGAGAGCAGAGACCACTCTCTAATTGTGATAACGTGGGCTTCTCATTGTGGCGGCTTCTCTTGCTGCAGAGCACTGGCTCTAGGGTGCTTGGGCTTCAGAGGTTGCAGCTCATTGCAGCTCTGGAGCATGAGCTCAGTAGTAGTGGTGCATAGGTTTAATTGTCCTGCAGAATGTGGAATCTTCCCAGATCAGGTATTGAACCCTTGTCCACTTCATTGGCAGGTGATTCTTAACCACTGGACCGCTAGGGAAGTCCTAGATGCTACTTTCTGATGTGAGGACCGGCTTGTGTGTATAAAGATGGGATTTCTCAGTAGTCATATTTGAAGCCTCTGACTGCAGTCCCCAATAGCCAAGTCATCCAAGGCTTTGGAATCAAGGGTGAGAAGCCGAACCGACATCTCACCACTGCTCTCAGTAACCGCATCACGGAATTTGCACTTCTTGCCCCACCAAGAGGCTTCACTTGTCACTGAGGCCTGACATGAACATGCATGCACAAATCAGAAGCACAGAGGAGTTAGATTCTATGTGATGAAACTTACACTTGGACCAACTGGAGGTATAATTTAGTAGACAAATTTGTGACTTTTCCCATAAACACTTCCAGCACCCACTGGCTACCTAGAGCCCAGGAACAGTCCTCTGGGAAAGCAATTGCCCAGGGGCACCACTAAGGGGCAGTGGCCCGACACGGAGTAGGGGCAGTGACACCTACTCATTTGTGCTCTGCTCCTTCTATGCCTCACTGCTTTTCTCCCATTCCTAATTCCCTGGGAATGAGGCCCTTAATAAAACAGTATCAAAGCTTTGCTGTCAAGCTCTGCTTTCCGGGGAACTAAAGCTAAAACAGCACTAAATCTAGATCTGCACTAAAGGAATGCATAAAGGATGCCATTCAGAAAGAAAATTATCTCAAAAGACAGTCTGAGATGTTTGAAGAAATGGGGAGCAAAAAGGAAAAAAAAAATGGTGAACATGTAAAAATGAAAACAAAATCATATATATAATATATACTGACCTCCTCACACACTTCCTTGGAGCAGTTCTGAAGTTCAGAGCTTATTGTCTTCAGGGCTACTGTTTTCAGTAAATCCCAAGTAAGACTGAACTCACTGCTCTCATATTGTGTGTATCTGTGTTGCTGTCTTTTTTATTCAACATTGCCCAGAACTTCACCTCAGTATCTGCAGTTTCCTTCTGTCTTTTCCTGTGGGATTTTATGCAGCATTAAGACATTAATAAATCTTAGTTTAAAATTCTTCCTCAAAGAATGCATCAGGCCTACCTAGTTTATACTGGTGAAAAAACTGGTTTTCAACTCAACTTTCCCACCCCACCCCCCACTTTCAGTCCTTTTAATTAGGTGCTCTAAGAAGAGGTCAGAACCGTAGGCAGGGTAGAGAAGCTGTTGCTTCTTAAACCTCTTCCAGCAACCAGTCAGTCTTCATCCTCTGGCGGCTGGATCTTGCTGCAGTTGTGGAAGCAATTGGATTCCATGATGGGGAGGCCATTGGCCTCTGGATATTTCACAAGCCTCTCAGCTTCCCTGCAGGCCCACTGCTGCATCCTGTAATCAGGCAGATAAACCAAATTCAACCCAACTTTTTAAAGGAACAGATCATTCCAATCCACAAACCTCTCCAAAAAACGTAAAAAGGTCACTGCCCAATTCTTTCTGTGAGGCCAATAGTCTTGATAACAAAACTAGACAAGGATAGTAAAATGAAGTGTGGTATAATCCAACCTTACTCATTAACATGGAGGCAAATGTTCTAAACAGTATCAGCAAGTGAAATCTAGCAGCATGTATAAGGGTAATAGACCATGAGCAGATTGGTTTAATCTAAGAATACAAGGATCAGTTATCTTTAGGAAGTTAATGGCATTTATTGCTTTAAAAGATTAAAGAAGAAAAACCACCTTAAGAGATGCAGAAAAAAAACAGTTAATAAAATTCAATGCACGTTGATGATGTTGACAAAGAATAAATCAACTGACCTGAGAAAGAAATGAAAAACTTTATTCAAGTCAATTTGAGGATTATAGCGCAGGAAGAGCATCTCAGAAAACTCTGAGAACTGTTAGAAGTCAAGGAGGAGTTACGTAAGTTTTTTGAGGCAGAGGGATGTTCATCAATGACATATTATTGACAATTTACATGTTAACTAGATCTAAGTGTCATCATGGCAGGTCATGTGGCCCTATACAAGATCAAGAAAGAATGTTATCTTTTAAGGAGTTTGGTGCTGGGAGAATGCTGCTCTTTATGGTTGAACAGGTATTCCATGAAGGGGAAGGCTGGTCCATGTATAACACAGATACACAATGCACAGTATGTGGGAAGAGGGGGCCAAAGGGCAGACAAGAATTTTTCATGTTTAAATTTTTCTTGTCTTGTCGTAAAATATGAATTTTATTTCACAATATTAGGAATTCAGGAATAGAAGAAAACATTTCTAACCTGTTTTAAAAAAGAAAAATTAGTCGCTCAATCGTGTCCAACTCTTTGGGACCCCATGGACTCTAGCCCGCCATGCTCCTCTGTCCATGGGATTCTCCAGGCAAGAATACTGGAGTGGGTAGCCATTGCCTTCCCCAGGGGATCTTCCCAACCTAGTGATTGAACCTGTGTCTCCTGCATTGCAGGCAGATTCTTTACCCTCTGAGCCACCAGGGAAGCCCAAACCTGTTAAAAGAATATCTAAAAAAACAAAAAAAATTTGAAATTTCTCAGAATATAATCATAGCATCTGAACAAAGGTCATTTTCTTTCTTCTCCTTTGATCCTTAACTCTTTATTCTCTTTATTGTAACTGTGATCATGTGGCCCCAGCACACCAAAATACATACTGATCCCAGAAAGAAGCTCTGAGCAAATAAGACTTCTCTCCATTTCCCGGTGCTCCAAAGAAAGTCCTAGTCCCCTGAGACTCTTCACATACTTAAAAGAATTGCATCCAGGCTAAGTCACTTCAGTCGCGTCCAACTCTTTGCAACACTATAAACTATAGTGGGTTGCCATTCCCTTCTCCAGAGGATCCTCCACACCCAGGGATGGAACCTGGGTCTCCTGCATTGCAGTCAGATTCTTTACTGTCTGAGCCACCAGAGAAGCCTGGTGGAGAATTAGGTCTGTAGTTATTTGTCTAGTTAATTGATTGTGAACTGTGATTCAAAAGTATAATAACTTGCCTTATCTCTCTGAGAGGGTCAAATAGTTACAGCCTGGCTTAGGTGCCCAGGTACCGAGGAGAAAGGCTTTTTATCTTGATCCAGGTGTTTACATTTCAAGGATAGTGAGGTCCAGGAGTCTTAAAAGTCTAGACCTAGGACCCTGGGGCTGCCTGGGTCCAGAGAGATTTATCTACATACTAAAGGACTCAAATCTGGAGGGGATCCAGATCCCCTCTCTGAACAGATATAAGTGATTTTTCTGAACCTCTCAACTGCGCAGCATCTGGCCATTCAAAAAAGACAAATTTCCATCAGTTCTCAGTGGGCTGGGTGGGCGTGGGGGAGGCCTGTGGAGGGTGTTTCATAGTTACTGTTACTGTGGGGTAATTAATAAAAAACCTCATTTAATGCAGAACACCTCTTGTGAGCATTAGGACAAAGTTAATGCTTAATATTAAAAACCCAACAGAAACCCATGCATATATAGATTTTAAAAAAAATATGACAAGTGCCATTGTACACTGCTGGGGGAAAGAGGGGCTAATTTAATTCAATAAATGGCA